GAATTGCTAGGTCATCTGGTTCTGCTCTGACCCAGTTTTCCTCTTTATCCTATAATAAATTCTATTATATTGTATGGAGGTGCCTGCTTCATTTTTTGGTCTGAAAAATCCCTTCTTGTTATGGCGAGCATTCCACCTTTGCCTTGCAGTCAGACAGTATAACAATAATAGCACAACAGAGTGGGGAGGGAACAAAGTTATATTGGAGCAATGTGTTGTTCACTATTGAAATTAAGTTGGTATTAATCCTAATTATACTGCTATAAATTGAGATGTTAATTATAATCCACAGGGCAACCACAAAGAAAATTAACTTATAAATACATGTAGTGAAAAAAAACCCACAAGGGAATTAAAGTTGTACACCTGTCATAAATAAATCCACAAACAAATAAATGCTGGTGAGGATGTGGAGAAAAGGAAACCCGTGTTGGTGGGAATGCAGACTGCTGCAGCCACTATGATAAACAGTATGGAGGGGGCTTCAAAAAATTAAAAATGGAACTGCCTTATGACTCAGCAGTTCCACTTGTGGGTATTATCGAAGAAACCCAGAATACTAATTTGAAAGAATATACAAGGTGAGGCAAAAGTATGTTTACAGTTATGAGTACATGAAAGTTTATTCTTGTAATATTACTTATTATTGTATTATTTTTCATATGAACAACTGTAAACCTCCTTTTGTCCCACCTTGTATGCACCCCTATGCTCACTGCAGCATTATTTACAATAGCTAAGACATGAAAGCAACCCAGTGTCCATCAAAAGATGAGTGGGTAAAAAGTTGAGGTATATACATACAATGGATATTACTTGGCTGTAAAAAAGAATGAAACCTTAACATTTGTGATAGCCTAGATGACCTAGAGAGTATTACGGTTAAGTGAAAAAAGTCTGAGAAAGACAAATACAATATAATTTGCTTATACATGGAATCTAAAGAACAAGATAAACAAACAAACAAAACTGAAATGGACTTATAGACACATAGGATGACTAATGGTTCCCAGTGGGGAGGGGGATTGAGGGACTGGGTGAAAAGGTCAAGGGATTAAGAAATACAAATTGGTAGTTACTAAACACCAATGTAAAGTACAGCATAGGGAATATAATCAACAAATACTGAAATAATTACGTATGGTGTCAGGTGAGTCCTGGAAATATCAGGGAGACAGACCACTTTGTAAAGTATGATTGTCTAAGAACTATGCTGTGCACCTGAAACTAATACAAAATAATACTGAATGTAAACTATAATTGAAGATGAAATTTAAAGTTCTTAAAAAAAAACAACAAGGAACTCTGAATAGCAAAAATAATCTTGAAAAAGAACAAAGTTTGAGGATTCACATTTCCCACTTTCAAAACGTACTAAAAAGCTACAGTAATAAAAACATACGGGGTACAGTACTGGCATAAAAATGAACATACAGATCACTGGGACTGAACTGAGATTCCATAAATAAACCCTTACATGTGTGGTCAATTGATTTTAAATAAGGGTGAACAATACAATTAAGTTAATCTTTGACAAAGGCATAAAAGCAATTCAATGGAGGAAGGTTAGCCTTTTCAACAAACAGTGCTGAGACAATTGAACATACAAAAGCAAAATAATGAAACTGAACCTGTACCTCCTACCATGTACAAAAATTAATTCAAAACATACCACATTTTGGGATAGCCAATTATTTCTTAAGATACCAAAAACAGAACAACAAAAGTAAATAAATTCTGAATTTTGAACATCAAAATTAAAAACTTTTGTGCATCAAAAAACATTAAGAAACCGAAAAAACAATCACAGAATGGGGAAAAATATCTGTAAATTTTATATCTGATAATAAACTTTTATCTAGAATATAAAAGAACTCTTACAACTCAACAATAAAAATCAAATAACCTCATATAAATGGGAAAAGAATTTGAATGGACATTTCTCCAAAGATTAAAAGGTGGCCAACAGTTTTACATGAAAAGATGCGCTCAGCGGCACTGGTCATCAGGTAAATGAAAATCAAAACCACAACACAACACTTCATACATACTAGAAAGATTAAAATAAAAAAGTCAAAAGTAAATGTTAGAATGTGGAGAAACTGGAACCTTCACACTCTACTGGCTGGATTATAAAATGGATCAATAATAATTACGTTCAACGATTACAGTAAGTAAACATATATAAATATATAAACATATAAACATCATATCTAAGCATTTCAGAAGTCAGGTGCATTCAGGGTGGTATGGCCATTACACGTATCTAAGAATTTCAAATCACAGAGCTGTGCCTAATATCTATAATACAAATGATACATATGCCCATACGATAGTTTTAAAGAAACAATTTTAAAAGTAATATATTTAAGACCTAAAAGGTGTAAAATCTCATGCTGTTAACATTCTTGGTCTTGAAAAAGGAGGGAACAAACATGGTGTACATCAGGGTTAACAAATGATAGAGAGCAGCATGACATTCTGAGGAAGGTGCTGCCAATACAAAGAGACAGGGATCACCCGAGAGGAGGAAATAGTGACATGAACCCATATTTAGGGTGGCTTAGTATTCTGAGTCATCACTGTGAGTAGAGCCTGTCCTTGGCAAAAATTACATATTGAGCAAGAGAGAAAACATGCAAAACAGCTCAGAATTGTTCTATTACAAAATAGCTCCCAAGAGATATAAGCTGTCATCAGGCTTTTAATATGAACTCTGGAATGTAATATACTATTTTCTCATTAGATGCCAAATTCAAATGATACACAGTAACCATTAATGATTTCTGATTCAAAATTGATTAGAAACACATTTATCAAAAGCTCACTATGTTCCAGACAAGGTGCTTTAATGCTGGGGACAAAGATAAGGACACGATTCTTATCTTTAAAGAGCAGGACAATGCGAACAGAGAAGAGGGGAATCCAAGCCGGACTGTGACTACTGTGCAAGCACAGGCAATGGGAATGAGTGCGCATACCACTGAAGAAGTTGAAGGGAAATGATATTCGAGGCAGAGGGTTACAGAGCGTATTATTTCAAAACCAGTATTACGTTATTTTTCAAGTATATTAAATAATAAAAACCTCAATATTTTCAGCCTTTTTGACTATTTGAGGCAATGTCTTTACTTTTTATTATGCTATTCCATCAATTTCATTTAAAATTTTAAAATACTTAATTTCTAAAAAATGTTTTACAAATGTAAATTCAGCATTTGTTACAGATCACAATGCTATCACTAAAGCAGAACAGAAATAAGCTCATAAACAATTCTTGAATGCCACTTTTAATCTGAAAATTTTCCAGTAACACTGAATCTCATGTATTTGATCATCCAAGAAAAATAAGAGATGAGCTAATGCGGCGATTTTCAACCTTTTTCATCTCATGGCACACACTAATTACTAAAACTCTGCGGCACACCAAAACATGTTTTGTTTTGTTTTTTTTGCTGATCTGACAAAAAAATAGGTATAATTTTGATTCATTCATACTGGATGGCTATTGTACTGGCTGTGGTCGTTTTTTTACTTGACAATCTAAGGGAAAAGAAGCCTGTGTCTCTGCTCTGACCAGTTTGGTTCAGCTGTTAGAGTGTCAGCCTATAGACCAAAGTGTCTCAGGTTTGATTCCAGGTCAAGGGCATGTACCTGGGTTGCAGGTTCAATCCCTGACCCTGGTTGGGGTCGTGGTAGAGGCAACCAGTTGATATGTCTCTCTCACATCGATGTCTCTGTCTCTCTGTCTCTCTCAGACTCTCCCTTTCTCCCTTCCACTCTGTCTCTATCTAAAAATATCTTCCAGTAAGGATTAACAACAACAATAAGAATTTGGTGCCCCTGACTAAACAGCCAGGTACTGCATGTTTTAAAACTACTTGTGGCACACCAGTTAAAAATTGGTGAGCTAATTAATTTGATTTCCAAATTAGCCAGTTTAGGATTCAAATCCAAACAATTAACATTGTTAGATACATAATTTAGGCTATTTCTTAAATATGTAATCTTATGCCCATAGATACAAATGAAAATATAAATAAAGCCTCTGTAACTCCCATAACACTTGCTAGTGTCAGAAACATGCTAGGAATTCAAACAGTTGTAATTATTGTATCTTCATCTATTTGGCAAATTATTCAGAACAAGACTTACTATTTACTTACTTAAAAGGGCAAGTTAGAACTTTAATTGTTGGAAATGAAGTTTTCCACAAAATTGAAAAATGCAGTCATTATAAAGTATGAATTTACCCACACAGAGCTTAACACAAATTATTAGATTTAACATGTAGATTATTTTGGCAAAAATATTTTTTTACATGATACCTGTTATATTTATAACGAGGCATGTTCACTTATATCACTAGCCATATCTGAAACTTGCCTGATTAAAAAATGCAGATGAACCAATGTAAATACAGGCAACATTTTAACTGCACGATGAATACACAAAACAATGTAATTTACTTAACCCTTGCAAATAAGCTTTAAAATATCATCACATAAGCTTTTAAGTTAGTAATAATGTTTAATATTTATTTAGAAAACTACCTTCATTGAGTTTCAAAAAAGAAAACAAACCCTTTGCTCTTGAACACAACAAGGATATATTATTAAAATGTAAGCTTTCTTTGTTTAAAGAAGCAAAACCTACTCGAGTGGGTACCGCCTGTTAGTTTAGAGATAAGTTCCTGTCTGCCCACTGACTCAACAAATACAGATAAAAAAAATTATTCAGCTTAACATGTAAGAGACTGCTACTAATGTTGCTTAAAGATTATTTTAAGACTAAATTCAATTGGTGACCTATTTTATTAGCCAACAATGTACTCAAAAGAATTTCTACATTTCCGATTAATGTACAGAAAAATGAAGATGCCGAATTGTTTTCTCCATGATGATTTTAAATGGAAAATAAACAATGAGTAGCATATATATCAAGTGCTTAAGGAAAAACATGACAACATGAACATTTAATTCCAAGTCATTGATTTATAATAATTTTTATTAACTCTTGAAATTGTCAGTCTTATTTATAAAATATTTTTCAAAACATTCAGAGATAGTTACATGCAGATTTGATATTCCTTCTGTTATTTCAGATCAGAGGAAATGACTCCTAAAATACTGCTTCCTGGAAAAAGAAGACATGGATAAGTGCAGGTAGTCCTCAAGTTACTAACACAGTGTGTCTCAAGTCTGCAAATTGTTTTCTTGGAATTCATATTCATTCCATGTTATAAGTAGTAGATAATTTCCTAACTTTTCTATGAAAGCTGACATTTCTTGTGGTCCCTTTCTTTCATAATCCTTGGTGGCTATTAATTTATTTATAATATATAGAAACAAGGTTTTCATGAAAAGTCTTATAAATTCAAATGTAATATCTTACATACAGAATTTAACTTTTCATTTAGATTTAAGGTTTGGGACTTACAGATCTTTGATGACAGGAAGGGGATTTGATGTATTCAGGTGAGAGAAAAATGAATAAGTGGCAAAAGGAGAACCACTTATCTACCGAGTATTTAGCCACTGCGACAGGAGTTGTGCCAAAACTCCATGAGGCAAAAATTATCTTCATGTTTTAGATGGGCAAACCAGGCTCAAGTAAGACAAGTTATTCACTGAAATTCACATTTCTTATGTTCTCTTGACTAAAACAGTCATTCATGTGTTCAGAATGGGATGAGAATTCAAGTCAAAGTTTCTTTAAATCTCAGGTTCTAGAATAACACTTAGAGGTATTCCAATTTCTCCTAAAATGAGTAGAATGGCACAGCCCCAAAAAGCACCACGCCACAATGGAGGTAAAATGTTTTTATAAAAACAAACAAACAAAAACATATAATGTATTCTAAACCAAAATTTGGGAAAGAGAGGATTGATTACCAATTAAAATTCTCTTTTGTCCAAAGCACTAGTATTTCTTAATGCATTGATATTTCTAAAATTCTAAATAAGGGGTTATGTAGCATAAGCAATTATCTTTTATTCTTAACTGTGTTGAAATTTCTTTGACCTTATATTCCTTTATGACAGATCCAAAGGTTGATTCTGTCACCATCGGCAGTTAGCTCTGACCTTAAATAAGCTTCTTAACCTATGTGCCTTAGTATTCACAACAAAAAATACAGAATAGTATTTAGTTGCAGGATTATAACGCAGAGAGAGCTAATCCATGTAGAGGGCCAACTACAACAAACAGGCACATCATAAACAGTAGCCCAGACCTCTTCAAGCTTCAGATCAGTGTTTCTATCTCCCTGTCTTACTCTTCAACCTCAGTGCCCCAAAGGCCCTTAAATTTGCCATATCCACAAAGAACCCAGTATCCTTCTGCGTCAAATTTGTTTCTTCTCTAATATCCTATTCGCTGAAACTTTGTTTCATGTTCCCAACCGGTTGGTCACCATACCACAATGATCCTATCTACCTCAAAAATTTTTCTACAAAAGCCTCTCTTAGGCAACCACTGCTTTAGCTGAGGTCCTAGCTGCTAGTATGTTGCCCAGACTGCTTCTGCTATACACTTATAACCGTCATTCCTGCTCCCATTTTCCCATTTCTCTCCCACTTCTGTGCCCCTTCCAAAATGCCGCCAGAGTAATCTCCCTTTAAAAAACAAAAACTAGCCCTGGCCAGTTTGGCTCAGCTGTAGAGCCTCAGCCCGAGGACCAATGAGTCTTGGGTTCGATTTGGTCCAAGGGCACATACCTCAGTTGCAGTTCGTCCCTGGCCCTGGTCAGGGTTGTGCGGGAGGCAACCGGTTGAGTGTCCCTCTCACATCAATGTTTTTCTCTCCCTCTCTTCCTCTCCCTCTACCTGAAGATAAACAGAAAAATATCCTCGGGTGAGGATTAAAAAAGCAAAAGAAAAAGCAAAGACTAAATCAAACCAAAAAAGGAAATCTGATTCCATCACTCACTTGCTCAGAAATTTCCATTAGCTCCCAGCTGCCTACAGGTGCCTAGAAAATAAAAGCAAGTTTCCAGCACATGCAAGGCTCTTCATCACCTGGCCAGACCCTGCAAACAACCTCACTGAACTTCTCAGGCTCTTGAGTACACAGGTCTTGTCATGAAACCATGCATATAGCTCTATGCTGTTCCTTCTGCCTGCAATGCTTAGAATGCCTTTTCTCAATCTAGTAAATTACTACTTGGTTCTTTGCTATAGGCAATGTTTTTGTTCTCCTAAAGTTCATATGCTGAAACCTAATCCCCAATGTGATGGTATTTAGAGATGGGGCCTTTGGGAGGTGATTAAGTCGCCAGAGCTCTGGCTCTTATAAAAAGAGGTCACAAAGAGATCCCTTGCCTCTACACCATGTGAGGTTTTAGTGAGAAGATGGGCACCTATGAATCAGAAAGTGAGTCCTCACCAGACACTGTATCTGCCAGGGCCTTGAACTTGAATTTCCTAGCCTGTGAGAAATAAAAAAAATTGTGTTGTTTATAAGCCACCCATCTATGGCATTTTGTTATAGTACCCCAAACAGACTAAGACTGTCTTGAAAACCAGTTCAAGTTATCAACTTTTCAACAAAATTTTCAAGATTCCTCCTTGCAAAGTAAGGTGTATGGTCCTCTATTTTTATTTATTTTATTTTGGTTAATCCTCACCTCAGGATATTTTCCCACTGATTTTTAGATAGAGTGAAAGGGATGGAAGAAAGGAGGGAGGGAGGGAGGGAGGGAGGGAGGGAGGGAGGGAGAGAAAGAGATCGATGTGAGAGACACATCGATTGGTTGCCTCCTGCACAATCCTGACCAGGGCCAGGGATTGAACCTGCAACCCAGGTACATGACCTTGACTGGGAATTAAATCCAAGATTCTCTGGTCCATGGGCCATCTAACAGCTGAGCCAAACCATTCAGGGCTCTGTCCTCTATTTTTATACAGAATTCTCATTCAGTATTTTCCATTGGCTGTGAGTAAGATAAACACATTCTGCCACTGAAGCTTGAACAGTGTCTATCACAGAAGACAAATAAGAGCTTACAGTTTCTTATAAGGAGCACATTATAACACAGTGCAATGAAAGTATATAAGAAGTGAAACCCATGAAATATTATTCAACCTTAAAAAAAAAAAAGGAAATCGTGCCTAGTCGATGTGGCTCAATGGATTGAGCATCATCCCAGGGACTGAGAGGTCCCTGTTCAATTCCCGATCAGGGTACATGCTGGAGTTGCAGGCTCGATCCCCGCTAGGGGGTGTGCAGGAGGCAGGAGATTGATGTTTCTCTCTCTCCCTTTCTCTCTAAAAAATAAAAAACATATTAAAAACAACAACAACCAAAAAAAAGAAGAAGAAGAAGAAGAAGAAGAAGAAGAAGAAGAAGAAGAAGAAGAAGAAGAAGAAGAAGAAGAAGAAGAAGATCTTGCCTTGGCTGGGTGGCTCAGTTGGTTGGAGCATCATCTTTTACACCAAAAAGTCGGGGTTTCTATCTTGGATCAGGGTGCATGTGGGAGGCTACCAATTGATGTTTCTCTCTCACATTGATATTTCTCTCTCTCTCTCCCTCCGTCCTCTCTCTCTAAAATCAATAAACATATCCTTGGGCGAGGGAGGGAGGGAGGGAGGGAAGGAAAGAGGGAAAGAGGGAAAGAAGGAAAGAAGGAAAGACCAACAGACTACTTCAGCAGAAACAAATGGTCATTGATGTCCTTCACCCTGGGAAGGCAACAGTACCCAAGACAGAAATTCAGGGAAAACTAGCCAAAATGTGTAAGACCTCACCAGATGTCATCTTTGTGTTTGGATTCAGAACCCATTTTGGTGGTGGCAAGACAACTGGCTTTGGCATGATTTATGATTCCTTGGATTACACAAAGAAAAATGAACCCACACACAGAGTTGCAAGACATGGCCTGTATGAGAAGAAGACCTCCAGGAACAGAGGAAGGAACGCAAGAACAGAATAAAGAAAGTCAGGGGGACGGCAAAGGCCAATGTTGGTGCTGGCAAAAAGTGAGCTGGAGATTGGACAACAGAAGGAGTAAAGATGCTTCAGTGACTTTATCTGTGGTAACTGGGCAGATTTTTCATGAGAGGATTAATAAACTAAACTGTTATGTGTTAAAAAAAAAAAAGAAAGGAGAAAGGGAGGGAGGGAGGAAATCTTGTCACATGCTACAATATGGATAAACTTTGAGGACTTTATGCTAAGTGAAATAAGCCAGTCACAAAATGACAAATACTGTATGATTCTACTTATATGAAGTATCTAAAGCAATAAAATTCACAGAAACAAAGTAGAATGGTGGTTAGTAGGCAAAAGAGGGGAGTTGTTTAATGAGTACAGAATTTCAATGTTGCAGAATGAAAAAGTTCTGGAGATATGTTTCACAAATATGCTTAAAACCTATTAACTGAGCAGGACGTATTTACACGTCTTCGCACCCATTATATGCTGCGTAATTAAAAAGGGAATTCCCCGGTTAACAGGTTAACACTACTGAACTGTACACTCAAAAATGCTTATAACAGTAAATTTCATGTTGTATTTAAAAACATATATTTTTTCTTCATTGATTTTAGAGAGCTAGGAAGGGAGAGGAAGAGAGAGAGAGAAACATTGATGAGAGAGAACATTGATCAACATCCTCCTGCATGCCCTGCACTGGGGATTTGGCCCACACCCTGGGCATGTGCCCTAACTGGGGCTGGAACTAGCAACTTCTTGGTGCATGGGTTCGATGCTCAGCCACTGAGCCACACCTGCCGGGCCATGTGTGTTTTTAAAACTAATTTGTTAAAAATAGCCCTGGCTGGTTTGGCTCAGCGGTTACAGCATTGGCCTGCAGTCCAGAGAGACCCGGGTTCAGTTCCCACAAAGGGCATGTACCTCGGTTGCAGTTTGTCCCTGGCCCTGGTTGGGTTGTGCGGGTGGCAGCCACTCGATGTGTCTCTTTCACATCGATGTTTCTTTCTCTCTCTCTTCCTCTCTCTCCCTCCCACTCTATCTGAACAAAAAGTGGAAAAATGTCCTCAGGTGAGGATAAAAAAAAAAAGAAGAAGAAGAAGGGGACCCAGCATAATAAAGTCAAAGGTCAAAGGTAGCCTATAAATGAAATGACATTTAAACTAAGACCTAAGTAAGCATCTAACTTCTTTACCATAATTTCAAATACATGGTTAATCTTTAGTCCTCATCTTACCTAGCCCATCAGCAACATCTAAAACAGCTGACCACTTCCTTCTGCTGGAAACACTTCTTTCACTTGGCTCTCAGGTCAGAACCCTTGCCTGGCTCCTCTCACCTTCACTAGTCACTTCTCAATCTCCTTTGCTGGTTCCTCTATATCACCCCAGTCAGTCCTCAGACCTTTTCTATATATATATACATATATATATATATACACACACACACACTCCCTTGTGGATTCATTGAGTCCAATCTAATGCAGTGTTTCTTAACCTTGTTTTCCTCATGGCTGCTTCAAGGAGCCTTTAAACATTTTTTCTCAATCATCCCATCTCCGTTCATTAAATGCTAAACAAGACTGTATTGAGTGGGGTTTAGTTTGGGGCAAACCACTGTAATATCTAATATCCCCCCACCCCACCCCCGCAAGAACCAACATCCCCTTTGGAGTGCTAGTTGGCCATGTTGAGAAAGCATATATTCTAATGGTTTTAAATACCATCTCTAAGCTGAAGGCCCTCACATTTTAGCTCTTCCCTAGACTCCACACATCTACCCAACTCCTTCTTTGACATCTCCACTAGTATATTTAATAGGCATCTTAAATGAACATGTCCAAAAACAAACTGCAGACTTTCCAACCAGATTATGTCACACTCCCCCACCCCCATTCAGAACCCTCAATGCTTGCCTTCCTCATTCTGACAAAAAGGCATCGTTACAGTTGCCTGCAAGGCTCTAGTGAGGAGCTGCCTTCTCCTTCACCTCTGACCTCACCTCCCACTTTTCCATTCCTTCACAACGGTCCAGCCATATTGGCCTCTCTGCTTCTCCTCAAACATGTCAGCCATGCTCCTACCCAGGGCATTTGCATTAGGTGTCGCTTCCAGTTAGCACAAGAGTCAGAAAAGTACACACAGCCCACCACCTCTATTTATAAAGTGGACCACAGAGCCACTTACTAGGTTAGGTAGTCTATGGCTGTTTTTGCACTATAACAACAGAATTGAACTGCAGTAGAGACCTGCAAAACCTGAAATACTTACTATTGGCCTTTTACAGAAAAAGTTTGCCAACCCTGACTTAGAGTGCTTTCCCCCAAGTAACCATGTTTACCTGATCCAGGGTTTTGCTCCAGGGTATGACTTACTCAGTGAAGCCTTAAAAAAACAGCCCTGTGATACACACTCCCTAGTCCAGCATGTTCTCCCAACCATTTCCTGCTTTATTTTTTTCTATCTTAGCATCTGACATCCTATGTTTTACTTATCTCGGTTGTTGTCTCCCCTAACCTAGAATATAAATATAAGCTCCCCAGGGCAAAATTTTTGCTTTTGTTGCATTATCACCAACAGTCCCAGATACAGAGTGGTTGCTCAATGAATACTTGATGAATGAATAAATGAATTCTAGGCACAGAGAATTGTACGTGTGAGGGTCTTCCACCAAAGACAGAGTGTGGCATATTTAAAGCATTTTCTTCTACTTCCATTAACACCAAATATTGAATTGTATTAAACTTGATCTATTTACAGAATGATGCCCCATTTAGACTGTGTTACTCAAGGAGAGAAGCTGTATCTAATTCTCTATCTATTACTTCCAGTGTTTTAACTTTTATTTGATACCTAAATCCCTTTTAACATCTCCAGCAATATCCAGAGTCTCTGCCTAAATATGTCTAGTGATCAGGAGCTTATGACAGTCTGAGATTGCCTGTTCTCATGCAGATAAAAAGTTCAACTGGCCCTGGCCAGTTTGGCTCAGCGGTTAGAGCATCGGCCTGCGGTCCGGAGAGACCCGGGTTCGGTTCCCGCTAAGGGCACGTACTTCGGTTGCAGTTTGTCCCCGGCCCTGGTTGGTCGTGCGGGTGGCAGCCACTCGATGTGTCCCATCACATCGATGTTTCTGTCTCTCTTTCCCTCCCACTCTATCTGTACAAAAAAATGGAAAATATCCTCAGGTGAGGATAAAAAAAAAAAAAAAAAAAGTTCAACTGAAATCTCTCTCTGTATAATTTTAATACCTACAGTGGCCACAGTCACATGGGACCTATTATTTTCTGTGAACCTTCATTTTCTCACTTGTGAAAAGGAGACTGCCATTTTCTTTGCTTATAACTACTAAATAAGATAATGTATGTGAAAAAGCTCTATAAATTCAAACATCATGTAAATAAAAGTAAGGTGCTATTATAGTTACTAAACTGCTTTTTAAAGGTTATTCTGCACAAATTTTTACTTAAGAAATAAAACTCCACTGAAAGTACTTTTGTATTTCTCTTTTAAAAAGATACTCTATGTTCTTTCTAGCAATATGTTCTAATTCAGCTTAATCCTTATAACCATACAATAATTCATTAGGCTTAACAAAAAGGCTCAAAGTGAAGAAACAGAAGATGAAGGTGATAAGAATAAAAGGGAAAGAAAGCAATGCAGTGTGTGTGTGTGTGTGTGTGTGTGTGTGTGTGTGTAAAGTATACAGAATTGATTCAGGAAACATGGCTTTAGGCCCCATCATTACCTACGCGATTTTTAGACCGAGGTTTCTTAACCTCGGCACCACTAACATTTTAAGCTGGACAATTCTCTGTTGAGGGCACTGACTGTTCTGTGCATTGCAGGGTGTTTAGCAGCATCCTTGGCCTCTACCCACCTGTGCCAGTAGGACCCCTCCAGTTGTGACAACTGGAAAGGTCTCCAGACATTGCCAAATGCCTCCTGGTTAAGAATTACTGTTTTAGATAAGACTTAATATCTCCATACTTCAGGTTCATCTATAAATAAAAATGTCTACCTTTATTTATTTTTTCCCTTTACTGATTTTAGAGGAAGAGGAAGTGAGAGAGATAGAGACAGAAACATCAATGAGAGAGAAAGCTGATTGGCTGCCTCCTGCATGCCCCCCACTGGGGATTGGGCCCACAACCTGGGCATGTGTCCGGACCTGGAATCAAACTGGTGACCTCTTCGTGCATGGGTTGACGCTCAACCACTGAGCCACACCGGCCAGATGAAAATGTTTACCTTTAGATACAAGGTCCCTTTTGGCTCTAAAAATGCTAAAATTCTATAAAAGATCTGAATATAAATATTGAAAGTGCAGTCTTATTAATGGGGAACAAGTTAGGTCATGAGAGAAATTAATACTTTTGTTGTTTTTATTACCTTAATAGATACATAAAACTTCCTTGTATAATTCAAATAATTCAATTATATAATCTTCTAAAAATACAGTAAGAGAATTTGGTTGTTTAAAAAAAAAATAAGACTAAAAGATGTAAAGATGCCAGTTTTGCTCAGTGGTTACAGCGTCCTGGTTTGATCCCTAGCCCCCTTTATCACCAGCCCTAGTCAGGGTTGTGTGCGAGGCCAATCGATGTCTCTCTCTTACATGGATGTTTATGTTTCTCTCTTTCCCCCTCCCTTCCACTCTTATGTTAAAAAAAAAAAAAAAAAAAAAAGATCTAAAGACTATTCTAGAATCTACAATGAAGGGGTATGATAATCAGTGCAGCATATAATCTTTGATTCAGTCTTAGATTATTTTAAAATGTCTATAAAGGATATTTTTGGTATAAGTGGGAAACTCTGAATATGGACAAAATAATAGAGAATATTAATGTATAACTGTTAAATTTTGGCAAGATAACGGTATTATAGGTCTGTAGGAAAATGTCTTTGTCCTTAGGAGATTCATATTGAAGTATCAGGAATCAAGTGCCATAATATATGCAACTTATGTTCAAAGGGTTAAAAAAAAGTATGTGTGTATGTGTACTTGTACATCTTTAGAGACACAGGAAAGATAAAGCAAATGTGACAAAATGTTTTTTAAATGCTGAATCAAGGTGAAGGGTATGCAAGTGTTTTTTATACTATTCTTTCAACTTTTCTATAGGTTGATAATTGTTCAAGATAAAAACTTGGGGGAAACACATCTAGTGTACAAATCAAATTACATCGACATTGGATTTTCCAGTTGACCACAGTGCGCACACACAGCTTTTCTAGCAGTTTATGAAGTAGTTTATTCAATATTATCCACTCTGTCAGAATCTCCTGGAATGGTTGGAGGCCCAGTTGGGGACAAGCTATTCTTATTACCTTAATAGATAAATAAAGCTTCCATTATTATTATCTATTATCTATTTATCTGAACAAAAAACCCAAGTGATTCTGATCTGGTGCTGGCCACCCCTACTCACTCTTCAGAACCACTGCAATTGGCTATGAACTCCTAAAAGCAGGGACTGTGTCTTAGTAATCAGAAGCCAGACCACAGATGAAGGCATTCAATAAGTATTTGTTCAGTGTTAAACAAATGGTTCCCATACTACTGTTTCTCTCTTCCTCCTACTTCCCCTCTGCACATCCCCTTTTTTTAAACACTGGGGTGAGAAAGGAGGGGTTATAAAAAAGAACAGTGTCGTAGTAGCTTTACTTCAAAATTAACTCAGATTAATGGTGTCATCATTAATCATTATCAGGGTAATAAATGAAACAAATAGGACAATCCAAAACAAAAAAATGCTAAAAGTCAGTTTCCTGTTTTAATTGTACTGTAGCATCATGCTTTCTCTTCTCCAGAAATGACAATCTCTGCAAATAATCTCCTTATGAAGCTATACCTCAACTATGTCATGTAACAAAGCTGAATTAAAAGCAGATTGGCAAACAGTCCTGCCAAAAGCTTTAAAAAAGTTTGTTTTAGCATCTATTATATTCTTTTCTGTGTGCAACAGTTTTCTATGTGAGCTATGGGGAAAAATTCGTAAAGCAAAGGGAGTGCTACCAAATACCAAAGTTAAGATTTAAAGTGTTATGTCCAAAATGATGCCCATTATAAAGACTTTGACAGCAGTTAAAAAAAAAGTTTCTTCCCACACACTGTAAAACAGGTAAAAACCATGACAGAAATCTGTTACAAGACTAATAAAATATGTATGTTACCTATAAGCTATGGTATAGGTTATTTTATTTTATTTATTTTATTATTATTTTTTTTTATCCTCACCTGAGGATATTTTTCCATTTTTTGTTCAGATAGAGTGGGAGGGAGAGAGAGGAAGGGGGAGAGAGAGAGAGAAACATCGACGTGAAGGGACACATCGAGTGGCTGCCACCCGCACGACCAACCAGGGCCAGGGACAAACTGCAACTGAAGTACGTGCCCTTAGCGGGAACCGAACCCGGGTCTCTCCAGACCGCAGGCCGACGCTCTAACCGCTGAACCAAACTGGCCAGGGCTGGTATAGGTTATTTTAGGCAAAATTAACTTTAAGAGACTATTTGATCTACATGAATGGAGGGAAATGTGTTCCAAAATGGTAATGCAAATAAGTATTTCCCAAATCAGACTGTTTCATTTAATTTAGCATATGCTATGTCAAATGTTACCCTGGACTTTATGGGAAATACAGAAGAGCAGACTCGGTCCTCAAAAGACTTGACATGTAGTCTGGGTAACAAATAAATGAGTAATCCCAATAAAATACAATAAATGCTCAGACAGAGATATGTAAGTGTTTCTATTCCAACTTAAGCAGGGACTTTCAAGTAGGAGGAGGGGAACAATGAGGAAAGAAGTACAAGGCACTGAGCTCTAACAGAAAGCCATCAGCAAACGTGATTAACAATACTTATGGTAAGTTAGCATTTGCAGTCTCATGGGACTTGCTGGACTGAATGAAATAAGGGGGCTGTTCATTACCTATCTCTGCCAATGGAGAACATGTGTTACTTCTACTTTGTGAAGAAAGGATCAAGTTGATGTCACACAGTGCTGTGGCCTGACTCTCATACTCTAATATGGAAAGAAAAAAGGAAAGAGGGATAAGAAGGATGTGCCAGGTAGGAGAAAAAGCACGTATATAGACAAGGAGTCATAAAAGGCATATTTTAAGCCTATTTTTTTAAGGTATTCTCTAAGAGTTAATTAATATACACTATCTTTTTCTATATTTATTTAAATATATAATCTAAGACAAGTGTTATGTTTTAGCATATTAACACCATTCTGAGATATTATTCAAAACATTTAATTTCAAAGCTGAAAGTATATAAAACATCCCAGTTGATACTTCTGATAAACACTGTATTTGACAGAGAACAAAAAAGCAATTTCAAGGAAGTAAAAGATACACACCTGCTATAGACAAACTAGGTGGCATACTGTTTCAAGAGATTTATACACTGACTTAAACTTATTTTTTAAGTACCCAATACCCATGTGCAACTGTGGATAGACTTCAGCAGGAGTTCGTTAACCCTTGTCAGGTTTAAAAGGATACTAAGTAGACAGACAGAGCACCTTCACAAGTGATAGCACTTGCTCAATCTTCCCCTCCTCAATCTGCACCGCCTTTTATAAACTCCTTAATAACTGTTGACATTAAAAAATGCTGAATGAGAAAACAAGATAAATATCTTTGAAGGGGAAAAAAACAAATCAAATGTCAATTTTATCCCCCTAACCCAAACTAATATCTAACAAAGGAAATGGTGGTGATTAAAACAGCAAATTTATGAGGAAGAATGATATATTAAAGATGACCTACAGAAAAAGACTTCCTCTGCCAGAAAGATAGTGTGGTAAAGTGTACAAAAGACATCTTGTGCCACAGAAGGCTGGCTTCCCTTCCTGACTTTGCTAATGCTCCAAGAGGTCCTCTCCCTAAACTGACAAGATCCCCATGGTCCCTTTCAGCTCTTCAATTTTAATCCTTAGATTTACAACTTTTAGTTTTGTTTATTGGAATAGGTAGAGTAGAAGGCAGGAAATACTCTGTTCCACAGAGATTATTTTTGTTTTATTGAAGTAGATCTTGCTAAGTATTCTTAATATTTTTCTTCCATATTATAATCACTATGGACTGGGTGAATCCAAAGTAACTCTGCATTAATTTTAATCTTCGATTCTCATAAAAATGCTTGGAATTCCTTTACCACAGATAAGTTTTATACTCCAACCATAAACCCTCAAAGCAATGAAAAGCAAACAGGACTTGCTTGTTATTCTCTACAGATGTCAGTATATCACAAACCAATTGCCAATTGTTATTATGGCACAGTTTTTTTTATTTTAATTACATGTATGTATGTGTATATATATCTTTGCCTGGCATAATTTCAACACCGAGAGTACTGACTACACAAGAGATACCTGACATTTTCTCAAAAACAAATGATATATAGGATGACCCACTGCTACTACAACTCACCAAAACATTTCAAATGAAGCATACATCATTAGAAAGAAATCTTACAAAATGAAAATCACTAACATTTTCAAATTATTATTTTAGCAATGACAATATACTCCAACATAAAACTGACCATAAAAAAATACTAATAATAAACTAACATAACCTAAGGATTTCTAATGTTACTAATCTCTGGCAGGTTTTCATTTACAGAGAGTCACTACTATTTCCACCACCATAAGCCTTTCTTAAATCAACAACATTCCTCTAGCTTTAAAATAGCTTTTCTGTATTATCAACAACCACAAGCAATTTTTAGCCTAAAATAAGATTAGTTCCTAGAGCAATTTTCCTTTTCTAGGAAAAATGTAAACATTCATGATTTTAGGACAAAAACGTAATGACATTTAACTGAAATGATTAGCACCATTCTTAGAGGAGATACTAGTTGAGAGAATCGTCAACCTACTAATATTAAACATCCAACAAGTAAATAAATACAAATTCTGTACATTCCATAACACTAAAGACACATATCTTGAAAAAGAATCACTTGGTTTATGGCAATAGATACCACTACAGATCAAATTACATCACAAAAAATTCCTGAGGCACTATTCAAATAATTATGATATAGATCTAAGCTCTTTCATATTTAACCCACAACTCTTCAAGGCCTCTAGTTTCTGAATTATAATTGATCAGACTCACAGTATAAGAAATCCACCAGCCTTTAAATTGTAATAGAGGAGGGACTATGTGTGATTGGTTCACCACTACTGTCTCAACACATAGCTCAGTGCCTAGCAGACAGTAAATGCTCAATCAAAACCTATTAAATAATGGCTATTTTGTTAAATGGTCTAAGAACTGTTTTTGTTGCTCTGACATTTTTAGTTTAATGTCTGTTTTTATCATCAGAATTTGATTTTTACTATTATTTAATATAAATCTAGAGTTTTAAAAAATTATTTTCCATTTAATAAAAATACCAGAAATCACTGCCCCCACCCTCTTAAAAATAAGCAAACAGATACAAGAGTACATAAAAAAAACAGACAGTCAAGTGAGTAGAGAGTGTCTTGAAAACAATAGGTGAGATTAGGTCTAGAGCTGACCATGACATGGCTACAGGTCACAGGAAACAGAGGTGACAAGGGAAGGCTCTGTTGGCCAGGTGTGCATCTCTATTCAATCCCTTTGGCAAAGCAAAACTATGCTCTAAAGACAGTTGTTTTTAAGATACAGTCAAGGACCTTTGAGAGTACTGATGAAAAGCTAGCAGGTAATCTAAAGGCCAATCAAAACATACCTGAGTTATAAATGACAATATCCCCAAAACAATTAACAAGACAAAATGCTGTAAGATATTAGGTGAGAACTGGGGGGAACATGCAGAACAGTCGAAGGGCAGAAAAAACAACTAAATAGAAATTCCATTAAAGCTTAAACTATGACTCAAACTTGACAAGTCCTGCTGAGTTGCATCTTCCCAGCCAATTTTCTTACGAGAACTAATTAGAAACTACCTAATATTCTAAATAAAATATTTCTAACGAACACCTTAAACTTAAGTGAAATAGTGTCAACTGAATTTCGCAACACAAATAACTGGCCAAGTTACTACAGAACAGCAAATATGTGCCAGAACAACGAAACTTCTCTTCAGAAGTGAGCACCTAAGATGTTATTTCTAAGGGAAAAAAAAAAAAAAATCAAATCTTCAAGTCAGCCTTAGAAAAAGTTCTCACAGTTCTTTCCATTTCAATTTCTGGAAAGTTTATCAGAATAAAATTTTGACTTAATTGTGTTAGTTCTTTTTTTCAGCACACTTAAAAATAAACCGAACCTACAATTATTTGTTCCATTAACTAACTTAAGGATAATCTCTAAAACAAGTGGATTCCACTTCCCTCACCCTCTCACCCATACAGAAATAAAAAAATGTAAGCCACCAACAATGTTGGAAACCAGGCTTCTCACTGGTGGACAGAAGTGAACGCATGAACATATAAAGAGTATAACAGTTTTCAAATACTATCCAAAAACTCATCACAGAGATTATCAACAATAAACAATGTTACCTACCAATAACAGCTTAAGAAAAAAATTTATAAATTGTGATTTTAAAATGTTTTAATACTGAATAAAAATTCCTACAATAACAATGAGAAAAACAAATGTAAAAAAGAAACTAAAACTCTCTTCAAAGAGGTGAGAGAAAATATTTGCTCTTTAGAAAATGAAGCCTAATTTTCTTAGTAGTGCCTCTACATTCTAGTATCGTCAGAGTTTTCCAAACCTGAAGCTTACTTCTTTTATGTGCCCAACTTCCTTCCCTTTCATTTTTTATTTTAAAAAATGAAAACCTTGCTAAAATACGTTACACATTCCTGACTTCTCTTAACTAGAACATACTGGAACCTTTTTTTGGATGTGGCAGCACTGAAAACAGCTATCCTCTCAGGGTCATGAGCACAGAAAGCTGTCTCACATTGCTCGACACAAACTGGCTGGCTGTTTGGGTTGAGTCTGCTTCTAAGGCTTTCCTTTTACCCGTGAGCTGCTTGCTCCGTCACTCCTATTATCAGATGTGCTTGCCTCTTAACAGCTCATCACCGCATGTTTGGACTACTATGAAACCCCTCCAATTTGATAGAAAACCTAACATTAAAACTTATTTGAACTATGATTTTTTTTTAAGTTACAACACAAATGAGTGAAAAATATGAGCTTAGTGCATTAAATGTATGGGGGTGTTTTGAAATGGTTTAATCAATGGATTTTACTTCCTATTTCTCTCCGGTGTTCCAAATACAAAAAAAAGTCCCCAAAACTGAGCTGCAGATATGACAAGTATTATTTAACTAATTTTTTCTAAATAAAGTAGTTCTTAATAAAAGTGAACATTTTCATCTTCACACTCAGATTCAAATGTTATATGACATTTGAGCAGTAAGCACCAAAATATGTAGTACATTGATGCCTGCTTTTTAAGTTGCATTATAAAGTTGAAACTGTTTCCTCAAATTGTTAAAACATTACAACATTTAATTTTCTAATATTGTAATTGGTTTTAAATTTTAAGCTAATAGCACTATTAGGCTGTACACAGTTGTACTTACTACCGACTATGATTTCACTAGAACTAAACACTCAATGACACATAAAAGGTACTTCCTTCATGCCAAATTACATTCATTATAATAGCATATGGCCAGGTAATCACAAGGTAAGAAACTAACTGGTAGATAAACTCACAGACCTTATTCCCAAAGGAGATTACATATATACTAAATCACAAAGAAATTTTTATTTCGAAAACTAGGCTAAATCTTTCAGACTCCTTTTTTGATTTCATCTACTTTCACCTGATTATGGGTATATATTCAAATCACTAATCAACTAAAATTTACTTGATATTTACTCCACACTCAAATATACTGGGATTGTGTGTTTTAGGGGGGAAACACATAAATTTTAATATAAACCTTAATATAAATATTGATGGTATTATAATTTTAATTCATTTACAACTACCACTTAGTACCAAAAGTGGGGTGGGGAGCAGAAATGAGGTAAGTTAGGAACTACAAATTAATGTGATTTTTATTTTTATATGATTTAAATCTATTATAGTGGGACCAGCTTGTAGGCTCTGAAAAAACAAAGCAGCAGCCTGGTGTGGCTCACTGGTGTACCCCCATGCAACAAGAGGTCGCCATTTCGATTCCTGGTCAGGGCACACGTGAGCAGGTTGTAGGCCCGATCCGCAGTGAGGGTCATGCTGGAGGCAGCCAATCAATGGTCTCTCTCATCAATGTCTCTATCTCTCTCCCTCTCCTCTCCCCCCTCTCTAAAATCAATAAAGAAAAAACAAACAAAACAAAGAAGAAATGAAATCTTGCAAACACTTCTGACAAAATAATTCCAGAAGAAATGTCCACATTAAAACAAAGAGTTCACAATATTGTTAGACCACAGTATTAAATGTCACTTCTAAGAATATTAGTGATCACAAAAAGGTATTTCTAGCTGTTAACTGAAATCCCCTTGCAAAAAAAAAAAAAAAATCATTTTAGCATTTTCTAAAGAGAAATAAAGGAGATTTAACAATAAATAAGATACATTGCACAGTTGTTATATTTTATAAGATGCTCACAACAGTGCTAGGTTCTGATTTCTACTGGTCCCCTTAACAGGATCACAATTCTTAAAGGACCAACTCTCCCAGCTCCATGGAGGGCAGAACCACAGGGCATGCCCTTAGCAGTGGCCAGAGGGATTTATATTAGCCATATAAGAAACAGTAAAGAATTCTGACGGTGGGAGTGTTAAATATCTAAGTTATTTAGAGCAGTTGTGAGATCTCACTCCCTTTAATATTAGAACAGACTCTTACCAGCTGTGGAAAGGTTCTGAAGAAATGCTATTCAAAATAAAAACTGGATAGCTTCTTGAAGTTCCTTTCAGACTAAGAGTTATATACACATCTACATCCAATAATACTAGTAACAACCAAACAAAACTTGCTGCAAAGCAATACCTTTTCTTAACTGAAGGATATTAAAAAGGTGGCTTTCTGTGCAGTTTTGTGTGCTAGATATGTTTTCTT